GGTGCGGAGAATGGCAAGGCTCACTGATGATGCCGCCTACGAGGCCGGCGAAACGTCTGAGAGTGTATCAAGTCCACGGTCAGATGCTAGGAATCATGACAACTACTATTGCAGACGACTTCGGACTCGGTGCGTTCTACATAGTCTCCCTGATCACAAGACCAAGTTGCGACAACGAGGACAACCCACTTCTGCCCGTTTAGGCTCACAACCCCACTCGCGAGAGCATCTTCTCCATCTCGGACCAGCCATCCTTTCGAAAAAGAATATGCTTTATTTTGCCAAATCCCCTGAGATGACGTTGTTATGGGGACTTTCATTTCGTATGAAAGTACACAATTCAGAGCTTTTTTTTGGTTGATCTGAGCGAAAGACGTCGGCGGATTCCTCCTGTTCTCCAGCAATTATGGCTTTATTATGTCGTTCAGGCTGACGCAATATATGTCTTCATCATATGACAAGTTAAACCTAGGCCAAAAAGACTATCCGACTCTGTCCCACATGCCTCATAAATATATAAATAAATATATATATGACTAAAAACAAAAATAATATACAGATATAAATGAATTTATATAGTAAATTAACCAAATCATTCCATGTCCCCCTATATGTATAGATATTTTCGTTCTTACTTACAGTACACAGGCCAGAGTCGAAAAGTCTCCTCGACTTATTGTTAACTTTAGACTTTTGCAGGAATGAGTTCTAAATTTGGCAATTCCTGTTGTATGATAGACCAGAATTTCGTCAGCCTGGACATCGCGTTAAAGGCAGACATCTGTAGAAAACCGTGACTCAGCCGTCGTGATTCGGTGAGCCCAACTTTCCCACATAACGAAATTCGCCTCAATTTTGACTTAAGACACACAACTACTAGCAGCGGACTAAGTAGTCGCATTTTTTCTGTTTTGTCCACTTCAGACAAATATGACAGCAGACTAATGCGAAGGGTAAACGACATGTCCACCGTGCCTCAGACAGTGGAGGTCGCTATGGCTTCGGGCAACACGAGTTGCATGACGACCAATTCAAATGCACTCAGCATCAACTTTCTCCTCTCCGACGGTTTAAGTCACGATCTGCCACATGTCGTGTATCCACACAATCTGTCCGACTCTAGCCCGGTTGACCATCTTCCCACCTCTTGCGCCATGTCGGCCGTCTCCTCCTCCTCCCTCGGCCAGCCGAACTGTCTCGACGCCCGACTGCAATACTCGACGGCGGAGGATTTGACGACCTCCGTCTTCCAGTCGACCGGCTGGTCAGGTCTACCGGGAGTCGGCCAAACGCCATCTCTCCTCTCCACCGTCTACGAGGAGGCCGTGGGTCTGGTGGGTCCGGCCAAACTGGAGGCCGGTCAGACGGCCGAAGAGCCGGCGACCGGCTGTTTCGCCATACCGGCCGGACTGTTGCTGCCCATTCTACCCGTCGGCGGGTCGGAGATCGACCTCGATCTCGGCAAGTCGTCGGCCGTCACCAGTCGAGACGTCTACCTCTCGAGCTACCCAGACCTCCGAGGCTCAGCCTCCAAAAGCTCAGACCATCCGACGCCGGACAAGACGGCGACGCCCACCGCCAACGGACAGACGTTCAGTCACCCTCCGCCGGCCAAGCCGGACTCGAGCCATGCGGCATCGGCTCACGGACCCGTTCAGGTCAGCCCATCCGCCGAGCTCATGCAACGGTTGGTCATCTGCTTGCCTCCCTCCTCCGTCGCCTCGACGACTCTGCCCGCGTCCGCGTCTGCCGGGCAAGATCATCTTCACCTCCTCACGCTCGGCCAATCCTCGTCGGCTGCTCTGCGCCCCCTCGACGGCTGTATGTCCTCGGCCGGTTTCGCCGATCCCTCGGCCTCCTCCGGCCTCGCCGGCGATCCCGAGGTTCGAGCCCGTCTTGGCTTCGTCGACAGCGTCGTCTGCTCCACGCCAGTCTACCAGTTGGCATATCCCACGCAAATGCTCAGCGCCTTGGCCACGTCGAGTCTGCCGGCAACCGGGCAACAGACGACGTTCGGCCGTCTCGTCATGACGTCGGATCCGGTCGAGGCGGCGGCTTCGGCCGCCGTGGCGCCTCTTCTCATGGACGAAGGCTTCGCGGGGACTCTGCTCCTCGGCCCGTCGGCAAGTCTGCCGGCCCAACGTGCGTCG